TCTACTTGGGTTTATTTCTTAGCTCCAGTGCCTACTAGATATTACTGTCTGCCTCAGTTTATGTCTCTGTAAAATGGGGGCAATCATATTACCTCGCTTTCAGGGTTAAATGAGTGAATACATAATCATTTGTTAGGAAGGTGCCTAGCACTCATTGGCCCATTGTAATGACAGACTGCTTTTATTAAATTAGTTTTTGAGCACACTAAATAAGCAGGGGCTTCCAAACGAAGAGCCAGCCAAGTCAATCCCACTTTTACTTGAAACAGTATGTCCTATGGTATGTTGAGCAGATGCAGGCAACTGTTTTTCAGTTCTGTAAAACAGTCCCACCCGTATGTGAATATTTCAGAAAGAAAATAACAGCAATTTTTAAGAACCAACCCAGTGGTTGTTTTAATACTTTCATTTCCAAACTTGAGGTGAAATTTAAACAAATACATGGAGGGTCCCTGGTGTAACAGTGAGCTAAGCGTTGGACTGCTTACTACAAAGTCAACAGTTAGAATTCATCTGCCATTCCATGGAAGACAGATGGGGCGGTCTGCTCCCATGAAGTTTGACAGCCTCGGAAACTCTGTGAGCAGCTCTGTCCTAAAGGGTGACTAGGAGTTGGAAGTAGGTTTTGTAGTAGGGAGTTTTAGACATACGGTCAAGATTTAGAAATCACTTACAAACTGAAACCCAGGCCTTGGATGCTGCTGGGAGGAGAAAACTCCCCAAGACTTGTCTTCTGTTTTTATTGTCCTAGCTAATGGTCCATGCACACAGCTCCTGGGGGCTCCGAGCTTTAGCTAATGTGTGTCTTCTGAGGACAGGACTTGTCTACTGGTCCAGGTCATTGCTGTTCGTGAGGAAGGAGTGTGGACAATCCTACTTTTTGCAGAAAGCATTTAACAACAACAAGGACAAGTAGGTTATCAAGAAGGAAAGAAATGACCAAGATGGTATCAATGTTCAAAGGCAACCTCTGTGTTGAGAATCTAATTTAATAATCTCCATTCCAGCCCTGGTCTGATCCACATTAGCTATTCAGTGAAACTGTGTTCATTGTAAGGTATATCCTGTGTAGGAAGGTCGCCCAGGCATTTGAAACTTCCACATTTGCATATTTGCATTATTAGCAGACAGCATTTTCAAGGAGCTAATTGTAGATTCTGTGCACTTTATCTTTCTTTAAAAAATAGACTGTAAATATCCCAAATTGATGATTAACCGCAACAAAGGATGCATTTTGTGATCATAGTAAATAATGAAACCCCCACTGTACTGTAATTAAGAGTTGTTGTTGTTTTTATTGACATCATAAAGTCATTTTAGACATATGAATTCTAAACCAGTAGGGATTTAAATTTTAACCCATACTCAATGTCACCAAATAAGTGTGAAATGGAATTTTATTTTTTGCCTGCTAAGTCTGTCTCTTCACTCATTCACTTCCTTGACAAGGAAAAGGTAGCCCTTCTGTGACAGATACCTGCTTTCTGACCACAACCTCCCAGCCCACTTCAGCAGCACTGACTCTGAAGAGGAAACCAGCCCGCCATATTTCCTGTATCCCTGACTTGATTCAATTAATTAGTGAATCTGAATGAAGTAGAATATGATCCATTATGCAATACTGAACTGTGCAAATCAATTCCCACTAAAATTGGGGTGGAGTCCTGGTGTGGTGCCATGGGTTAATGCGCTGGATTGCGAAGTCAGTTTGAACCACAAGGTCCGCAGTTCAAATTCACCAGCTGTTCCTAGGAAAACCTATGCAGGTTCACTATGGGTCAGAATTGACTCAACAGCATTTAACAACAACATCAACAACAACAAAATTGGTGTGGCAATGTAGGATAAGCACTGGACTGCTAAACCACAAGATCAGCAGTTCAAACCCACCAGTCACTCCTCAGAAACCCTACACAAGGTCACTATGAGTTGGTTCCAACTGGATGGCACTTAACAACAACAACAACAACAAAATTGCATCATGAATCTGGAATATCATAAAAGTTTGCTGGCAAAAGAAAAATGTTGTTGTTAAGTGCCACTGAGACAGTTCCAACTCATCGCAACCCTGCCTGTATAGGGTTTCCAAGGAGTGATTGGTGAATTTGAACTGCAGACCTTGGGGTCCTGCGCTTATCCTACAGTGCCACACCAGGACTTCTGCAAAAGGAAAATAGAAATAGTTGTTAGTAATGACCAGCCCTTGGTGAATCCTCCTTACTCACCTTGGGTTATCCACAATTCCTGTGGTTCAGGCATATACATTTCTAAATCATGTAAGCTGCCATATACAAGCTCACACACACTCATAACTTAAATAACTCAGCATCGTGTTGATTTAAGAGTGTTTCCATTTTGTCTCTGTGATGTATTAGTGAGTTGGTACAGGGTACCATAATGCATATGAATTTGAACCCATATGGAATGTGGAGCTATTCATCTAGGATGGCTATTACTTATCGGTCCAGTTGTCTATAAGGATCACCACATCATATTTAAAGAAAATCTTTTTTTCCCCTCAAAATCTGTGTATTGTATTCCAAAGAGGGACTCATTGTTAATGCTTTTCCTTGGTGCTTGTGACATCCATCAAACATAGGCATACTTTTAATCAAGAAAATTAAACTTGCTTTAAAGCAAGATGAACTGGCGGCATTGCTTCTTGCTGGAGAAGCCATCTTAGATGAGTAACAATACACTAGATTCTCTGAAACAGAAACCTGGGCAGGAAAGAATGAAGAACACTTTGTCCACATTCTCAAGTGCTGCAATGGCAGAAACCCCACAAATGGATGCCTTTAACAAACAAATGTATCCTGTCACAGAATTTGGTTAGAAGTTCAAATTCAGAGTGCCAGCTCTAGGAGAAGGCTTTCTTCTGCCTTTGCTGTTTCTGGAGAAAGGCCCTTGTCTCCATTCGGCATCCGTAGGTCCCACATTCCCTGGAGATCTCCATGCATCTTGGCATCCATCTTCCTCTGGACCTAGGAGTTTCACAGAGCAGGGACCCCCAGGGCCAAAGGATTCACTCCATTCCTAGGTCTTCTTTCTTTGTGGCAGTAGTTTCTTCTGAGCTCTCCTTGCCTGTTTAATCTCTTTAATATCATAACAGAGATTGACTGAAGAGACAACTGAATCCCGCAGATAGCATCTGGCCTCATTAACGTCACAGAAAGGAGAATGTACCACACCATGGATCATGACATCATATCACATCATGGGGGGAAGGATAGCGCCATCTTAGATCTCATTGTGGGGAATGACTAAAGTTTGAAAAGCCAAACCACTGAGAACCTAGGTCAAGTTGGCACAAAACCTTAATTAGCAGACAGACTGTTGTTGTCAGCTGCCATCGATTTGACCTCTGACTCATAAGGACCCACATATATTGGAACCAGAGCACCATCCCCACATTGTGGGTTTAGACTATACCATTGTAATCCAGGAGTTTTTCATTGACTGAAACTCTTTAAAGAGCATCAAACTGAAACGTGGCTTGTGAATACAGCATTGACTCATTGGTAATGATAAAATAATAGTAAGCAGTCAAATTATTATTTATTCAGAATGATAAATGGACCTTCATATGAAAACACAAATAGCTTTTGTCTAGATTGTCTCCCTCCAAATGTTACCTCATGGTTTGGTTCTGTTTTTCAAGAAAAAAAAAAAAATGAAGTAAGTGATTTTTCAGAAAAGTCAGCATTTCAAATGCATTGAGGTATTGTCTCTTTAGCTGAGACAGAACATATGATTTGCATGCATGTGGGAAGTCAAATGCATATTTCAAGTATTTCATGTAGATTATATGCATTTATGATGTGGGAGAACAAAAGGGTAAGACACAATAGAGACAGCGAGGAAGATAGAAGAGTTGTGGGTTGTGATAGGTTTCCCATGTGGAGATAAACATCTTCAGACTTAAGGTAAGTAAGACGTTGCAGGAAATTTCAGATTCATCCAATGGACACTGGTTGTTGGAGTTCCCTCTTTTCAAAGGCAATTTAAAACTGTTTTAAGAGTTCCTCGGGAAACCATTTGCTCCAACAACCAGCACTGCTGGAAACACAATGATTTGTGCAGTTTGCCTTGACATTTGTTGTTTACTGTCAACCCACACTAGCACTTCTAGTTTTGTTTCCATCTCGATTCTGCAAAAGTGAGAATCTGACTAATTGATACTCTCGCATGAAGGGCACCCTTAAAGCTCTTTGATCATCTGTGCTGCAAATCTTCTCAAAATTTGATATTTGGAACATTAAAATTCTGTTTCCCATTGAACAGTGACTGCTAATACAGCTTGTGAGTTTCAAAGACACAAATTCTAAATCTTGAGAAAAAGGGGCTTCATGGATGACCATGAAATAATAAAAAGTAATGTCCGAACATATGGAAGGTATCAGTAAAAGGTGATGTCTCTGTATGGAGCTCCCGTGTGATTATTGATTCTAACTTGTATTACCTTAAGTGATGGCGTTGATGTTCTTATGCAACTTATTTGAGTAAAAAAAAATAAATAATTTTTTTTTTTTTTTTACACTCAGAATAAAAAGTGGTATGTCTCCTTTTTACAGTCCCTAAATGTAGTAAACAGAATAAATGGCTAGATATGGGAATCCTCATCTGGGGCCTTCAGAATGTCTTTAACTTCATGCATGTGTGAAAAATGATCATATGACCCCAAGGTACCAGATAAGGAAGGTACTCCTTAGCCATTCTCACTCAGTCCTATTATCTGGAATGAAACTAAGTTCAGCTTGCAGAATGGTGAGTTACTGACTAGAAGGAAGTTAAGCAATTCATTGATCTTATATCTGCTGGTGGATTTTCTATAACCTGGATGAGATGGGAAAATTCATTTTTTCGGGGGGGAGGGGGTGAAGAGGGTCCCAATATTACAAAGAGAAACACAGTGGGGGCTGAAAATGTTCTTTTCCTTTTCTTTTCTTTGAAAATGATGCGCAGCCCCTTTCTCTTACATGACTCCATTTATCTTTCAGTGGCAAAGCATCTCTATAACCCTGGTTGAGAAAGTTCAGATGATTGCTGTCATCCTAGGATCCCTGTTTTTAATAGCAAGTGTGACTTGGCTTCTCTGGTCCGCCTTCAGCCCCTATGCAGTGTGGCAGAGAAAGGACATCCTTTTCCAAATCTGCTATGGAATGTATGGTTTTATGGATCTAGTGTGCATAGGTAAGACCATGGCTTGTTACACACTAACAAACCCCCCGTAATCTGTTTCTTTCAGCTATTCTGTCTTCACCCGCATGATGGAACTCAGAATGCTGTGATTCACATGCTCTTGGGTATCCTATTTATTAAGTATCTGCAGGTCAAAATTGGCCAGTTTTCTTAAAACAAAAACACAGCATCTATATTCCCAGAAAGTTTAAAACAAAACAATATAACACCCATTAAAAGTGACTTATTCAGTAAGGAAAAGGAAGAGCTGAAGAAATTGTCTGGGGTGAGCAATACTAGGACTCTCCCACTTGTTCCTAAAGAATCATTTCAAACCAGTTGTCCTTTGCAAAACTGCAGAAACCTCACTTGTTACAAAAGGCTTTATTATACATCTGGTGAGGGTGCAAGACATCTGTCTTACATCATGGGGGACTCAACTCCCCCAAGGGCATATGGGTTCTTTGGAAGGGTAAGGACTTAGCTGTGCTGTGTGCCTTTTTTCCATTAGTACTTTGGTGGCTTAGGGGAGAAAAGGACTAAACATTTTAGCTAAACCTCACTGACATCGCGTTAATCCTATCTGTCCAGTACCTAACAAATCCTTATGGGAGCAGAAACCCTCCTCTTTCTCCCGAGGAGCAGCAGCAGGTGAGCTTGAACTACTGACCTTGTGGTTAGCAGCCCAGTGTTTATCCAATAGCTCCACACCAGGACTCCTTTAGCAAAATTGGTGGTGGTGGTTGGTTGCTATGTGCCGTGGAGTTGGTTCCAACTCATTGCTGTTTAGGGTTTCCAAGGCTATAAATCTTTATGGGAGCAGAAAGCCTCATCTTTCTCCTGTGGAACCACTGGTAGTTTCAAACTGCTGACCTTGAGGTTAGCAGCCTGGCTCATAAGAACTATGTTACCAGAGCTCCTATTAGCTAAACTAAACCCTACAAAAGCTCACTTGTGCCTTTCACTTGGCCCGCCTATCCTTCTCTAAATACCATGAGTAAGTGCAGACTGATTCATGCAACATTTCACGGACAGCATGAAACCCCACGAGAATGACCAGTTTGGGAGTGGGGTAGTTGAAGAGGGTGCCAGGGCATTGGGGACTTCCCCTGCTCAGACATGGTTCAGCTTGTTGTTGTTAAGTGCCATCGAGTCAATTCCAACTCACAACTACCCTGCATAGAGTTTCTAAGAAGCCAGCTGGCGGGTTTGAATCCCTGACCTTCAGATTCAAACTGATTGCATGGTCCAGCGCATTATCCTTCAGCTTGTTCTTGTTAAGTGCCATCGAGTCAGTTCCGACTCATAGCAACCCAGTATAGGGTTTATGAGGAGTGGCTGGAGAGCTCAGACTGCCGATGTTGCGTTCAAACCAACTTTGCAGTTCTAACCACATTAACCCGCAGTATCACACCAGGATTCGAGCTCAGTGGGATATAAAATTTGCAGAGGGAGGCAGTGTGATATGAAGCAGTGTCTCTGAGTGTGTGGTCTCTGCATCACCAACAGCAACTTCTGCATCAACTTTTTAGATCTTATGCAATCTCAGACTGCACATGAGACCCTTGTGATGGGAAATGTCATGGAGCACAGCCCTGTGTATTTTTAGAAGCCCTCCGAGTGGTTCTGATGCCTGCTGGACAACCAGTGGTTTAAGGAATAGATGCTCTGCTTGGATTCAAATGACCTGGAACTCAATCCTGGTCTCTGCTTGGACAGATCAACATCATCTCTCCACTCCCCTGTTTTCTCAACTGTCAAAAGGGAATAAAAGTCCTTACTGCACCGGTGTACGTAGATAAAAGTGGTGGTTGTTGGTGGTGTGATGTGGAGTCGGTTCTGACTCATAGCCACCCTATACAGGGTTTCCGAGATTGTAGAAAGCTTCCTATTTCTCCCATGGAACAGCTGGTAGTTTAAAACTGCTAACCTTGAGGTTAGCAATCCAATTAGTAACCATGTCTGTCAGTTTGTCATACTGTGGTGGCTTGTGAGTTGCTGTGATTCTGGAAGTTATGCCACCAGTATTTTAAACACCAGCAAGTAGCGTAGTGGCTACGAGTCGTGCTGCCGTCCTCAAGGTCAGCAGTTCGAAACTACCAGCGGTTCCGTGGGAGAAAGATGAGGTGTTCTGCTCCTATAAAGATTTACAGCCTCAGAAACCTTGTGCAGGGTCACTATGAGTCAGAAACGATTCCACAGTACTTAAGAACAACAAGAAGGGTCACCCATGGTGGACAGGTTTCAGATGAGCTTCCACACAAAGACAGACTAGGAAGAAGGAATGACGAACTAGTTCCAAGTATTTAGTCGCTGAAAACCTTATGAATAGCAGAGAAACACTGTCAGATATAGTGCTGGAAAATGAGACCCTCAGGTTGGAAGGCACTCAAAATGTGACTGGGGAAGAGCTGCCTCCTCAGAGTAGATGATGTGAATGGAGTAAAGCCCATGGGAGAAAAGCCCTCAGGACCCTCATTTGCTGATGCAGCACAACTCAAAATGAAGAGAAACAACTGTAAACATCCATTGATAATCAAAATATGGAATGTAAAAAGTATGAATCTAGGAAAATTAGAAATTGTCAAAAATGAAATGGAATGCAAAATCATCAATATCTTAGGCATTAGTGAGCTGAAATGGACTGGTATTGGCCATTTTGAATCTGACAACCACATGGTTTTCTATGCCGGGAATGACAAGTTGACGAGGAATGGTGTTGCATTCATTGTCAAAAAGAACATATCCAGATCAGTCATGAGGTACAACGCTGTCTGTGATAGGATAATATCCATAAGCCTACAGGGAAAATCAGTTAATACCACTATAATTCAAATTTATGCACCAACCACTAAAGCCATTGAGGGTGAAATAGAAGAATTCTACCAACTTATTCAATCTGAAATTGACCAAACATGCAATCAAGATGTATTGATCATTAGTGGTGATTGGAATGCAAAGGTTGGGAGCAAAGAAAAATATGGCCTTGGTGATAGAAATGATGCTGGAAACCACATGATAGAATTCTGCAAAATCAATTATTTGTTCATTTCAAATACCTTCTTTAGACAGCGTAAGATATGACTATACACATGAAATGTGTATCACCAGATGGAATACACAGAAATCAAATTGACTACATCTGCAGAAAGAGACGATGGAAAAACTCAATGTCATCAGTGAAAACAAGGCCAGGGGAAAACTGTGAAACAGACCATCAATTACTCAAATGCAAATTCAAATTGAAGCTGAAGAAAATGAAAAAAAAAGTCCATGAGAGTCGAAGTATGACCTTGAATATATCCCACCTGAATTTAGAGATCATCTGAAGAACAGATTTGATACATTAAACACTAACGACTGAAGACGAGAAGAGTTGTGGGATGACATCAAGAACATCATACATGAAGAAAGCAAAGTCATTAAGAAGACAAGAGAGAAGGAATAGGTCAAAATGGATGTCAGAAGAAACGCTAAAACTTGCTCTCCAGTGTAGAGATGCTAAAGCAAATGTAAGAAATGAGGAGATGCAAGAGCTGAACAGACAGTTTCAAAGATCAGCTCAAGATGAAAAGCCAAATATTACAATAAAATGTGCAAAGATCTGGAGTCAAACACCAAAATGGAGGAACACACAGCATTTCGCAAGCTGGGGAAACTGAAGAAAAAAATTCAAGCCTCGACTTCCGTTATTGAAGGATTCTCTGGGCAAATTATTGAATGATGTAGAAAGCGTCAAAAGAAGATGGCAAGGATATACAAAGTCACTGTACCAAAATAAAATGGTTGATGTTCAACCATTTCAAGAAGTAGCATATGATCAAGAGCCAATGTTACTAAAGGAAGAAGTTCAAGGTGCAGTGAAGGAATTGGCAAAGAATAAGGCATTTGGAATTGCGGGAATACAAATTAAAATATTTCAACAAAGTGATACTGCACTGGAGGCACCCACTCATCTATGCAAAGAAATTTGGAAGAGGCCATGGAATGAGGGATATAATTGCTGATGTCTAATGGATCGTGGCTGAAAGAAGAGAATATCAGAAAGATACTTAACTGTGCTATATTAACTACGCAAATGCTTTCGACTGTGTGGTTCATGACAAGCTATGGACAACAATGCAAAATATAAGTATTACAGAACACTTACTTGTGCTCATGAGGAATCTGTTCGAACAGAATATGAATCAAGAGGCAGTTGTTCGAATAGAACATGGGAACACTGAATGGTTTAAAATGAAGAAAGGTGTGTGACAGG